AAAGAACGAGATTTGCACTGTTCACACGACAATATGATAAGAATTAAACAGACACATACTTACACTTACTGTAAACTCATACAAAATCAATTTGACTTACATACACCAGCACGACAACCCCATCATCGATATCAATTCATTAATTCTGAATACACGTCACCATTTTTTCTTAACTTCACATATTGCATTAAAAATACTAACTTTCAAGGCATCCTCCGTAACTATGACCCCAGAACCCAAATGTATATATTTTGTCCACTAGCCAAGACATTCAATATAGAAGAATCCCGACCACTAATTGTCCCGCATGAATACACACAACCTATAGAAGTTTCAATTTTAGAATTTATCCACAATACTAAATATAATCACAAGCTTTTTAACCTTATTCAGAACACGCCTCACGAATTTTCCATTAGCACTGAAAAACTAAAGACCATTAAGGCACTCCAATTGCTTTGGCCACTACTTCATACTAAAAACATCATTAGCATATTAGCAAAGCTACTACTCACATCAAATTCTATACACGATATCTTCCCTCATGGATTCTTTCCCGATTGAGTAAGTATGAACTATATAATTTAAAAACTAACGATTTCGAAATAACACTAACCATTCATTGTTTTATGTTTTTTTCTTTTTCTTTAGTCTTCAGATCACGATCATCTACAAACAGAAAAATCAAATATTAATTACAAACTCTTTCATAAATTATAAACTTCTTTTAACAAACCGCAATGAATGATGCAGTAAATTTCCTTCTCCACAGTAGTAAATTAATCTTTAAATTCTTTTCGCCAATAGAGTAAATCTAAATACAATTAAAATAATTTAATAATTTCAACCCCCACAAAGCATTAGAATTAAAATTTTCAGTAGTAAATTTATACAATTGCAAGCAGTACTAACCTTTTGCAGACGTTTCACTTGCACGCAAATTCTATCCATACTCGCACAGCTCGCCAAACCGAATTAAACTAGCTCAAAGAACTAGATAATTTATTCTTTTGAAGACTATTGATAAGTCTAAAAAAGAAAGAATAGAACACCAAAAAGTCGAAAGACAAACCCCAACCAAACAATTTGATTTTTGAGAAAAGGACAAAACCAAAACACCAAAAGGAAAAAACCAGTAACAAACACAACTTTAAAGGTTAACACAAAACAGGACCCCATAAAAAACCAGCATGAAATCATACACTCACTCCTGGCCTAACTCACCAGAAGATGACGTCTTGAGCATGCTTATTAGCCGGCCCAACCCAGCGTGCTAGAATCCACGCTTTGTGACCCACTCCATATTTTTGACAAGAGCTACTCAAGTGTGAGTTACTCTTTAAAAATAACAGAACTAAATTAAAAGCTTTTGCGATAAAAACTAATAAAAAATCATAACTAAAAGCAGTACTAACTAAAAATTTATTTATGTAAATTATATGATGCAGTAATATAGATCATACAAAATCACGAAGACGAGGATCAAGAAACTAAGACAACCTCATCACACTTAATCCACAGAATGGCTAAACACAACCGATATGCCGCCCACAACCACAAGTCAAAGGATATGAAGTACGACTTGACATCGAAGCAAAGGACTTCATTGACCAATGGCCATCTCGATGTTCAAGTATCCGTGCATTCCCTCCAAACTCGAGCTTCACGCCAATCCCAAACAAGATCGAAACACAGTTCTCCGCCGAACCAGAACAAACGATCATAACAAATGACTTGGAAATCAGATTGATTTTCTTGGCGGTCACAGTCATTGTTGAACGACAGAATGACACATACGATTCCAGCTTCCTGGTGTTTTCTCCTCCAAGAACGGAATAGAAATGATGCTTGCGAAATACAAACGATCATCATCCATCCTCCATTACAGATAGAGGTCAAAAGAACAAAAACTCTGTAAACCCCGGGTGGGTGGAACCAGATCCGAGCTATAATTTATTATTGTTTATGATTTAGATGTTTAAACCCTATAAAGTGTTAAAGAATAACCAATCACACTCCATCAAACTAACAACCCACTTATTTGTAAGTGCTGAAATTATTTGTAATTTCCGCACCAGAGCTTTTTGAAATTAACTTACAACTTAGTTGCTTTCTCCAAGAGGCCGACTCGTAACAAAACCAGTATACTTTAGATCTATTAAAACTAAGAGATATAAGAGTAAGATTAAGATCGGTATTAGACTAAGAAGCTGCACGAATCTATCCGGCCGAAAATAAGTTAGCGTGACGAGCAGACGGTGTACCCTATCTGAACTTACTCTATGAGTTAGAGATCCAACCCAACTCATTACGATTTTTTTATTTGTTGCATCTTAAATGCTACTGAATGGGTAAGTGGAGCTGGAATTAGTTATAACTGACCTGCAAATCAAGTAGGTTCATGCCAGGATCTCTTCAAGCAGCCCCCCTGTAGCGTCAGCGGAGGAGGACAGGTCGCTAATGCAGAGGCTGTGATGCACAACACGAGGAGAACAGACATCAGAATCGCAGAATGCAGTAACACCATCTTTTTCATGTTGCAAATCGAAAAGAAGTACCTAACTAAACAAACAAACTGGCCGTAAATAGAGCCATAGGTCGCATTTCTAACTGATCAGTTTTTTAAGTTAATAATTTAGGAAATGCTTGTTTTCTTTCAAATTTAGACATGGATAGCCGGCTGCTGTGGTTACATGTGTTTGAAGTATGTGTTTTCATATATGCTTTCATATGTGTTTGAAGTGAGCAATGTGTCGGCTAATGAAGTGGTGGCAGAATGGGGTGATGTTTAATAAAATTCTGATAGGCTGAAATTGAACTAGTTTTTTAAGAGTGTTTACACGAAATATGATAAAGAAAAGAAGATTTTTCCACGTTTAAGTTGTGTAAAACGATTAATTGATTGAAAAGGAATTCTGAAATTCAACTTTCTTCATATTTTAGATTGTGGGATGACAGTTTCATAATTTTTCCTTGGTTGACTTCGGAGCCGTGATGATTGTAGTTGTTGATATTTTTCTTCTTGTGGTAAATTTTTTTCCTCTAGTTTTACGAATTTTCGTTTGTTTTTGAGGTAATTGTTTATTGCTGATTTTTTGAGATTTTGTTTGGTTTTCTTAATGTTTATATTTTTCGATTCCAATAATTGTGTCGAACAATTTATATCTTGATTTTGTTAGTGACTTTCATCTCAGTTGTCGTGGACAACGTTTAGTCCTGTAAAGGAGTATAAATGTGTTACCTCGCGAAGAACGTGTTCTTTTGAATAATATATTTAAAAATTATTTCGGTGTTGAACGATTTCTTTTTTATTTGAATCAATAAGTTTGTATGTTACATCTGTGGCTTTTTCAAAAATCTGAAATCGTTCTTTTCAGATTGGTTATAATTTTCTAGATATTCTCTTTTGTGTTACAAAGTTTGGTATTAGGGCCTACACTCTAATTTTTAAGTTCGTAGCTGGTGTGTATCGTGCACTAATCTGTGATTGAATAATTTGTCGTTGTAATAGGTTTTTGGCTTTTATTGATAAATTTCGTTTTGTTTATAGTCTTTATTTAAAATCCATTCCATAAGTGTTCCGGAGGCTAATTGAAGGATTTGCGAGTGATGAAAATGTTCTTCATCGTGCGTATGTAACTGTAAATTATAACAAATTGATTCTTTAGTAGGTTAGCAATGACCTTGTGCATTTTTTGAGGAATTTGCTGTGAACATTATTGGTTTCCGTGGTTTTTGTTTGAAAGCTATTTCATAAGGTGATAGTCTTAGAATTGTTGTTATCTGTGTGTTATAAGCTGAGTAGATCTGAAAAAACCATGAAAAACAGCATTTCAGATCTAAATTAACCCAGTCGTTACGAAAACGTATTACAAACCTTTTCAGATCTGAAATTGAGATCTGAAAAAAGTAATTTCAGATCTCAGTTAGATCATTTTCTAGGTGCGGGTTATGAGCTGACAAACAGAAACTGGTTTGATTTTATGCTATTTTAGAGCAATTTTCAGGCAAGGTCTCTGCATTTTTGGATAAACTTGTGTAATTTTATGCTTTTTTTTATTTGTTGCATGTTAACTGCTACCCGAGTCGAGATTTTTCACCTAATTTGAAGCAAGATTTGAGCGGTTTGAGCGGTTTTTTTAGACAATTACGCTCAAAATCTTGCTTCAAAATGAGCGGTTTGAGCGGTTTTTGAACGGTTTATCTAAAAAAACCGCTCAAAAACCGCGCAAGATTTGAACGGTTTTGAGCGGTTTATCTAAAAAAACCGCGCAGATTTAATAATAAAAAGTCGACCTCAGAGGGATTCGAACCCGCAATCTTCTGACTCGCAGTCAGACGCCATATCCGTTAGTCTATGCGGACTTGCTGCAACCTTAATATTCGCTGTATTTGTTCTACTGAATATACTGTCACAACAAATATACTGTTAGGATTTTTATTGTCAGTCTCTACAATAAGCGCGCCACAATCACACACACACACACACACACACACACACACACCACACACACACCTCAGCAGACTCTATAGCCAGCCTAACTCACTGTCTTTCAAAGCAAACAGTCGTGGGGGATGGATACGTTGGGGAGGGGGGTATGGATACGTTGGGGGGGGGGGGGTACGTTGGGGGGATGGGGGTAGGTACGTTGGGGGGGTATACATTTGGGGGGGGGGGGCAGGTTGGGGGGTATATACGTTGGTGGGGGGTGGGGTATAAAAACCGCTCAAAAACCACTCAAAAACCGCTCAAATCTTGCTTGAAAAACCGTTCAAAAATCACCGCAAGAAATGAGCGGTTTTTGAGCGGTTTTTTAAGCAAGATTTGAGCGGTTTGAGCGGTTTTTCCAAAAAAAAACGCCCAAACCGCCCAAACCGCTCAAACCGCTCAAATCTTGCTGGAAAACCGCTCAAACCGCTCAAATCTTGAGCGGTTTTTGAGCGGGATCTCGACCCGGGTACTGAATGGGTAAGTGCAGCTGGAATTTGTTATAACTGACCTGCAAATCCAGTAGGTTCATGCCAGGATCTCTTCAAGCAGCCCCCCTGTAGCATCAGCGGAGGAGGACAGGTCGCTAATGCAGAGGGTGTGATGCACAACACGAGGAGAACAGACATCAGCATCGCAGAATGCAGTACCACCATCTTATTTATGTTGCAAAGCGAAAAAAAAGTACTAAACAAACAAAGTGGCATTAAATAGAGCCATAGGTCGCATTTCCAGCTGATCAATTTTTCAAGTTAATAACTTAGGGAATGCTTGTTTTCTATAAAATTTAAACATGGATAGCCGGCTGCTGTGGACGTAGCCCAGTGCTATGACAAAACTGACTGAAAAAATTATAGGAAACATTTAGAAAGACGTTAACTTGATAACAAAATTTGATGCTCATTTTTCCCCAAATAGTTTCCTGTCAATTTTAAAATTATTATAGCGAACAACAAGTAGAAGTAAGTTTGGAGGTCAGCTTCCTATACCTGCCTAGTTTTAATAGAATAAAGTCTGAAAAACAAAAAAGTTCGGCTTTTATCAATTCTCTAAAAGCATTTTTTCTGAATTCAAATTAAAACACAATTACGGCTTTAATGTGATACAGCACGTGGCTCTCGCAAGGTTTTTTTTCGTGAGCTAATCAAAATTGACTGGAAAGAATTAAAAAACCGACTCTACACCATATAGTTTCTCTCGACTCTTCGACTGCGGCCGGTACAAAAACTTCAGAGAACTTGGCTGAAAGTTCACAAGTGGGATAAAATTAATGGCAAAACTATGTTCGTACCTTCAAAAAGCCAACTTCAAGAACCATTTTTGAACATCATTCTCTCAGAATTCAAACAATATTTTTAACCAACTTCCAATAACAATGATTGGTTTGAAGCCTTTACAAGGTTTGATAAAGTAGGGTTTTGCAGTAAGCTTTTTGAACGGCGTTTTAACTTTAGAAGCAGAGGAGATTACGAGGAAAATCATACTACAGTTGAGAGCTTTTCTTGCTGAGAGTGTTTCAATATACTAGAACAACTTTTTGTTCCGACCATTTGAAAAATTTGGAAGAACTTTGTATTTCGGATGTGTTTTAGTTTTTGTCTTTTTGTTTTCCACACAAAATCAGAAACCACAAATAATCATCAGAATCATAAAAACTTTCTTTCAGTCGTGATTCGAATGACATTTAAAAATTTTCAAAACATTAGTGTCGCGAAAAATCAGTCTGAAATTTTTGATTTTTGGTGTACGGTGAGCGTGCAGGCTTAAAATAGCTTATTTATACTTAACTTAAGGCGTGAAAACGTAACTTCTTGACTTAAGTTGATTTTGGAGTTGTGAAGCTCCAAACTGTGAATCAAAAACTTCAAAAACTTTACAATGATTGTCGCATTTGCCTAAATTCCATTTTTCGTTCAGATCATCACACCACACAGAAAAAAGGACACTATAGATTGAAAAAAAGTTTCTTTGTTTTTTTTTAAAACTATGGTTGGAACATTTTGTGCTACTTGCACTGCAACCTGCTATCTTAAGTATTGTTTTCATTCAATTTACCTGAAACAATTTTATGGTTTTGAAAATTTACCGGCGATAGTGACAACTGATAAATTCAGACCATAAGAACAAAGTTGCCTTTCAAACCAAAAAAAAACCTAAATTGAAATTAGCTTTGATCATTAGCTCAAGGTCAAGGTAAATTTTTTTTCGAATTTTACTGAAAGTTGAATGAAGTTTTGTGCAAAACCATTTTTGAGTCCCACGCCGCGGTCGCACCCTCTCCACCTTGGAAGTGAAAGCTGCGACGGATCTTTCGGGCCGCTAAAATCTGGAAATGGAAAATGTGGTCACGATGTCTGGACATGAAAATTTTTGGTCGCGAAAGCTCTGGTCGCAACAACAGTCAGCAAGGATCTTTTCGGTCAAATAAAACGTGGAAATGCCAAATTTTGGTCGAAAATAACTCTACATGGCAAAATATTGCCACGAAAGTATAGTCGACTGCGTGGAAATTGACGGAATGAATTAGTTTTGAATTTTTTGGAACACAATTTCAGCAGATTTGACATTTTTGATATGAAGATAGCCGGCTGTTGTACATGTAGCGCAGTGTTCTAGTGAAATATGACATTTTGCCTGTACTCATAGAGTAATTTAAGATAAGGTGCACCGTCTGTTCGTCACGCTATCTTTTTTTTCGGCCGGAAAGATTCGTGCAACTTCTTAGTCTTTTACCAATCTTAATCTTACTCTTATATCTCCTAGTCTCAAAAGTTCTAGTGTATACTGGTTTTCGCGAGTTAGTTCTTAGAGTTTATCCAGAAGGAAAACAACTGTAGTCTACGTTTATTCAAATTGTTCTGGTGCTGAAACTACAAGTAGTTTCAGCACTTATAAATAAGTGTCAATGTTAGAGATGGAATATGATTGGCTAGTTAGTAATATTTTATAGTGATAAATTTATCAAGGATAAAATTGTAATTATATCCAATTATAATCACTAGTTTAGAACTGGTTCCACCCATCCGGATTTTAGAGAGTTTTTCGTTGTTTATTGTAGTGAAGGACAGGTGATGTAGTTTTTTTGCAAGAATTGAGCAGTGGCTTCTTGAAGAGAGGAGAGAAATTTTTGTTCGTGTAGATAGAAGACGATTATTTTGTTCGTGTTTCATGATGGGTCTCGTTGATCGTGAGTAGTCTTGGGTGACTGTGTCAAGCCTTCTGATCGATGCAATGATGTATCGATTTCATTGAGTTTAGAGCGAGACTACGTGCAGGGTGAAGTTTAACTTTTCCGTGTGAAGTGCCAAGTGACTAGGACCGGTATGTGAGATCAAAATCGAGATGGCCATTGGTCTGGTTCAATGATTTTCGTTTGCGCCGACCTTGAGTCCATACTTTAAATCCTTTGAGTTTAGTGAATTCGGCAACAAACCAAACAGATTTGCCATTCCAGAGCTGGAATGTAGTCGAGTTGTCATCTCCTTTGCTTCTTGTTCCTTGAGCTCTAAGAAGTCTTTACATACTGCATTTATAGTTTTTACATCTTGTTCGTTAAGTTTCTTTTTTAGTTATGATTTATTATTAGCTATTATCGCAAAAGCGTTTATATTTTCGTTCAGTTATTTTGAAGAGTTGCTCACCCTGGAGCCACTTTTATCAAAAATAGAGCATCGGAGTCGTAGTGCATGGTGTGGGCATGTGCTCCGAGCGACGTCGTTCTGGTGGGTGAGGCCAGAAGTGGAATATACTTCTATGGTTTCCCGTGTAGAGTCTCTTTATATGTTCAACTTTTTGTAACATTTTCATTTCGTGCTTTTTTTCTTATTTGTTTTAGTTGTGCCCTTTTGTCAAATGTAGAATGATTTTTATTGGGTTTGTTTTTTGATTTTTTTGTGTTTTTTGGTTTTTATAAAAAAAACTTGAAAGCGGCTTTCAAAAGAATTTTTTTATCCAGTTTCAATCTGGACTTAATCTGGTTAGGGTACTGTGGGACTTTCGTTCTTAGTCATGCTATTAGTTTGTGGTATTATGGCGTTAGTAAGCTGCGTTGGTTATTCTAGCTAACTTTTATAATTCCTCACAACCGGGTTAATGGTAAGTTTGAAACGTATGAAAACAAGTTAGATTTGTTATCAGTGAAAGTTAAAACTTGAAATTCTTTATTTGAACAAATCTTCGTGGGTCAGCTGTGCGATTGTGGAAAGAGTGTTTGATTTATGGGCGATTGAAGAATTCAAATTTATTAAAAAAGCGTCTTTTAAAAGTTTAGTTTTCTTTTCAATTCAAAATCAAATTTTTGTGAATTTACTACATTAGAAATAATAATTTACTGCCATGAAATTTAAATTTATGAATATACTGCTTTTGAAAGAAAAAATTAACTACACCAATCACCCATGCTACGATTGTTAAAATGAATTTGAAAAATTTAAGGAAAAAAATTACAATTTTTGTTTGCTATTATTTGTTTTAGATGAATGAATGGTGAATTCTAAAAAAAAGTGAGACATGTACAAAGAATGGTTAGTATTTCTTTGATTTTTTATGTTAAATTATTTAATTATACTTACAAAGAGTGGTCGTCGGCGAAATTAGCGCGAATAGTGTCTGATGATGTGCGAAGTTTGGCAAGCATGCGGATGACATATTTATTTTGAAGAAGAGGCCATAGAAGCTCGAGTGAGAATTCATGCGATGTATTTTGGATTAGGTTATTTAGTTTCTGATTATGCTTTGTATTGTGAAAGAATTCTAGAATAAGGACTTCGATGGGCTGTATAATATCGTGGGGGATGATTAGTGGGCGAGATTCTTCAACATCAAAGATCTTGGTTAGTGGGTAGAATATATACTTTTGTCTAATGGGATCATAGTTACGGAGGGGGCCGTGCATGTTAGTATTATTTATACAATAAGTGAAGATTAGAAAGTATGGTGATGTGTTTTTGGAATCATGAATGTGAATCTGTGCTATGGGTTTTGTGATGGTGTGTAAGTTATGTAGTAGTGTTGAATAAATTTAAAATAGGTGTATGTGTGGCTAGTTTAGTGCGTAACATTATTTCGTGTGAGCAGTGCAGTGCAAGTCACGTTCGTTTGCTCTGAGAAAATGAGAAGTAAGTGAAAAGTGATTAAAGTTATTAAAATAAGAATCATAAGCTTTGGTGTCTCGGAGTGCGTTGGAAATACTATTATCCTGTTTTTTATTCATGCTGTTAATTAAAAACACATATTCTGATTTTTAAAAAAATTTCTCGGTTAATGGGGGGCTAGTGTTTTCATCTTCTTCTATGACTGTGTCTTCCCTATATCGTGCAATAGCGTGGTCGTAGTGCTTTATTGAAAATCTGTTAGCTGTTTGTGCAACAAATCAGTTTAATGTTTGTTCTAGTCCTATGGTTGTGAATTGTTTTTCATTAAGTGCTGTAGTTAATTAGTGAAGTCAGGGTTGACAGATTTCAATTTCGGCTGGGTTAATGTACAAAGGTAGTGATAGTTGGTTTGTGAAGTGATAGTGAGATATCCATGATAAGTGGGAAGCAGGGTAAAATTGTCTACAAATTTCAGTTGGTAGTCATCAGTGTGATAGCAGGTGTATTGTGGAAAAAAGGGTAATTTATATTTGAGAAATTCTTTGGTATTAGTGAACTGCGGGTGAAAGAAAAACAGTCGAGTTGTGGTCGGCG